AATCAAGAATAATTCTGATAAAAACTTGAAGTTGTTTACTTGCTTTACGTCACTTCTGTTTTTCTTCTTGTACACTGATTCGTTCAGCTGAACAGCCAATCTGAGAGATTCCTCTCACCAACCGCACCAATGTCGACCAACGCCGATTGAACATGTCAGATCGGCCAAAAAAGGTAGATGGGGGCAGACGGGTGGAGAGGGAGCTGGACAAACTGCAAAAGCTGGGGCGACAATCGCTCACCATCAGGGATCGTTGTTGGATCGTTGTTGGACCGACGGCCAACGATCACCTTGCTGTGTCAGGGCCTTACGACTGGGCCCTGCATTGAGAATATCATGGATTATTATCAAAACCATTATTATACTCACATGTTGTCCATCATCACTATGTTTGTCCTCCTCTAATCTGAGCACACACTTGAGTTTCAACTGCAAAAATGTTCTCCATATATTTGTGTCCCCTCATGAGACAGCCATTCTTTGACACCTTGATGTGACAACAAACCTCCCCAGCCATCAACACAAACCAAATACCAACACACACACACTGGTGGTTGAACTTGACCTTGACCTTCTCCACCCTTGCATCCCCTCCATCCCTTGGTGTTCGTATCAAATACATGCGAGTTAAAGTGTTGCATGTTAAACCGTCTCTACACCTGAGTGAAGGGTTATTCAGCACCATCTGTTTGGGTTAAGCACAGGTGCAATGATTAGCATTTTCGGACACCTTTGAAGTCACTTTTGCATAAATCTAGCGGCGTCATTTCAGGCCAGATCATAACTTCCTTCTCATTGAGTATTTCCCATTTAGAATTTTTGGTTAATCACAGAACTTGAATAGAAAATGGAAAAAGTTGATTTCATTAAAATTGGATCAACATCCAATTTTGCATTTTCAAATGCACCACACCTGATTAATGTCAGGGATTTTCCAGGGGCTTTAGTCTGTCTGTATACTGTGGTGGACAATGATGTTTGACCTGAATTTGTAATTGTACACTTCATTTCATGTCTTCATTTAATATTAAAAACATTTTGGTTTTGGGCACTGGAAAAGCTCAGTTGTTAGATCAGGTGTCATATGAAATAGGCTACACTCCTTGACTCGGTTGCTGGTTAGACTCCCAATCCTGATGCTGTTTGGAGTGTTGGTAAGTTAACCCCTCCCCCCACATATCCTTGTTATATCGAATAAAGCCCCAAAACAAAAAAAACAAATACATATATATGTATATATATCTTTTTTTTTAATCCAGAATTTTGTTGGATGTCTGACTGCTCATGTTATTTTTCCACAATGGACTGCTTTGTAATGTTGTTGTTGCTTTCCCACACTTTTATAAGAAACTAAGAGACCACTTACTTTTCTGAAAGAAAATGGTGGAAAACAAAGAGTAAGACAGAGGTTGTTTTTTTAAAAGGATTTCCATTAAAGTATGCACTAATTAGCCTTAGGTCTTATTGTGAGGAAAACAAACTGGGCAGTTTCCCAAAGCATCCAAAGCCCAGTCAAGCCCTGAGAGAAGTTAAACTGGGACACCAAGTGGTGAAGAGGAGGGAAACTTTTGTTTGTTTTTTCTTTAGGAAGCGACGTTGCACTCGGCTGTACGCACAGAGGCTCCTCTGTTTCGTGCCCATAAGAGAGCGGTAAGACAGGCAAAGGGGCCCACTTTCACTATGAAATGTGAAACAAAAAAAAAGAACCCACAACAATCCTTTTATTTGGCTGTTTGGACCTGCCATCTGAACAGCGGCTTGTCATTAAATTAACATCACAGCAGGCGCGCGCCCTGGCCCTTGCTTCCCCGAGCATTGTGGTGCACTCAGGAGGAAACTCATTCTTTCAGGGGATACCAGGTCAAAAAGCAGGGGTGGTATAGACTCGACCCAGCAGCCTTGGCGTTGAGAAATGGGAACTGTCGCCATGCCGGAGTGTTAGTCCTTGCGAGGCTTGGTGTATAAAGGACAATCTTTTAATCCTTGGCAGCCGTGAAGGACAGAGACAGATTTGCTTTTTGTTTTTGATGTTGTGCCACTTTCTGGCCACATCCACCCCGTGGACACAACTGTAGTCCGGGCCAAGGCCTGCGACCACTGATGAGGCTTCAACACATTCACTGCAATCGAGCAGTGGCTGTTTTGGCCTTGGTTACAGACTTGTGTGGTGTGCACCTGCTGAAGGGGAAATGTGTTGCATAAGTTCTCCAATTGCTTTTCCAAAAGAAAGATTTGTATGGTGGCAAGGCACTGCTTGGATCAGGCAACAAAGCTGTAAATTAGCTCCTGAGCAGCTCACAAGAAATAAGAGACAACCCCTGCACTGTAAGAAAATGAAATACTTTGCCTTTTCCATTGTATAAATTGAATAGATATGGTTTATCCAATGTTAACAACTGAGCCTTGGAGTGAAGCAAGTGTGAATGAGTTCATTTTTCCAAGTCTGCCAATTCGCTTTGCCCCCCAAAAAACCTTTCTGGCAACGACATCAAAAACAACCGCAGCTGGGGAAATGATAGCCTATAGCGATTTAGTTATGCGCCCCATGTACAGGGGCTGTAGTCCACGTCGCAGCCACTGTAGGTTCGAATCCGACCTTGGCCCTTTGCTGCATGCCATCCCCCACTCTCCTCCCAACATTTCCTGTCTTTCTTCAGCTGCTCTATCCAATACAATTTAATATTTTTTTTATTTTAATTCCTCAGCAAAATTAAAATTATGAATGATCAAATAAATATTAAATATTTTAACTTTACTTAAAATTTAAGAAATGAATAAGCCTTAGCCCTTTGATGTCAGTAACTTGGCCTGACTTGTATCCAATACCCAAATAAATGTTCAAAAATGTATATGAACTGATTTTTTTCTCATAAAATATGGAATCCTTATTTGTTAAATTAATATAAATTTTTGAATTTTAGATTTAAACGCTAGTTTCCACCATCCATCATCCGTACTTTTTCTTCCAACAGACTTACCATTTCACTGTAAAACCATCCATGCAGAGCACCAAGGCACGACTTTCTATCCTCCTCTCCTCCTCCGGGATTCCCTCACATTCAGGGGTCATCTGGCATCGTGAGCTACCAGCAGATTTGGGGCATATGGTGGTGAATTCTTACCGGGCGCCTTTATCCCTCAAACTGGTTTCAACCTTGTGAACCAGCAGCGGAATTGATACCAAGGTCCTTATGGTTGGCTGAAGTCCTGTTACACAGGATGCTGAGTCTCTCTGTGATGAAGAATCTGAGCAATTTAGTTCTTTCATGCTTGAGTATCATGTGTGGAATCCAATGCCCACTTTTAATGATCAGGTAAAACCAAAACAATGCAGGATCCCTCACTTGTCTACCATGGTCAAATTAAGTACTCCTGAACCAGCTGATTCAATTAAATCATAAATGTTTCAATAGTTTCCTCAAAAATATCTGTTTCTAGTAATTCTTATCTGGCTCCCTTTTCAATGGACTTTGTCTTTAAAGTTTTCTTGTCAATCAGACCACTTCATTGGTAACCAGACAAGACAATCGATTTGGAAAAGCAAGTGAGGCAAAATAGGTCAGGTAGACGAAGTAACCACAACATTACTGTGTCAGTTTATTCCAATAATGTAGCCTCTACATGACGGGACCTGAGAGCAAGTCAGGCCCTCACCTTCTCTGGATTTCTATGTACTTGAATTCCAAAATACATTCTAAAAAATGAATGTCCCCAGGTGCCATTCTGAATTAAAAAACCCATTGAGAAGATTGAGAGTCAGGCGAGGACACCTTTTCTGGATTTCTATGTAGGCCTACTTGAATTCAAAAATACATCAAGCAAAAAATAAATGTCCCCACGTACCCTTCTGAATTAAAAAAAAACCCATTGAAAAGACTAAAAGTCGTCTGTCTTCTCAATGGGTTGTTAATAATAGACGACCCATAGAAATGTGAAACTGTGGCATTAGTCACGCTGGAGTGACGGGGCCCGGCTTGGAAGCTTTTGACTGTATTTGCTCCAGTCTGTCTGGTCTTATCTCACAGCCCCACTCTCTCTTTAATCTTGTTGCCTCGGAACTGCATCAGACACAAAGACTCGTCTCCTGGGAGTGTCTGGGAAGAAACAGAGCCAGTGACGAATGGCAGCCAGGAACAGGGAGGCTGATTGGATGTGAGGTTTGCAACCTAAGGCTCTCTTTAACAGGCAGTCAAGGGTGCTCAAGACATCATTCTGAGATCATCAGAAGCTGTTGTCAACACTAGTTGTCTGTTCAAGGCAGAAAAACAGAAAATGATTTCTAAGACAACCCTAAAAGTTTCTCTTTGGAAAACAATGCCACCCAAAATCTAAGAACAGCTATTGCAGTGATCTGGAGTGACAACGATTTGTCAGCTTTTGTTACCCATTGTAAGAATGAAATGTGAAAACCAACACCTTTTTCTTTTTTAAAGATGCTTATTGGACCTTTTGACCACTAGGGGTGCTGTGGCGCAAGGTTGTAATCATAACACTTACTGTCTTGATACCTTTTTTAACGATAGAATGAATAAAAGCAAATATTAAGCATAAGGTACAATTTCAAAAAGACTTAACGGTCACTACCCAGGGAAGATAAAGTGCTAAGAGCCAACCTTCGTAACCTAGCAACAGTAAGCGCCAGTGAGATCACTCTGAAATTAATGTTGTAGGAGCTAGCTGCTCACAAAATAAACTGTAAATGGACACAGGCCCTTGTTCTGTATTGAAGACTTTGAACTAGGGACTTAGACCGTAACTTGTTATAAAATGCATCATCAGGTAACAATGAAACTGAGAAAAGTAATGTCCTGTTTTTTTGAGAACGTACTTCTTTTATAACCAGCTCAGTCTGCCACGCCTGCCATGAGACAAAATGTAAAAGGAATGTGTTAATTATGTGTGTGTGTTGGCTAAAGAATTAACAATTGACAAGAATAGACATATGTAGTTTACAATAATTTCTGCAAGGTTTATAAAAATGTAAATGAACACAAAGAGACTGTTTGTTCCATTTTTTATTGTTTCCTGTCACTGAACATGGAGTCGTAATTGATGCAACTGACGACAGAATCCTACGCAAACATCTGACACCAGGGTTGCAGATATGAACACAGACATATCCAGCTACTGCTGAAGCAATACTCACTACAAATGACCAGATTACAGAGACATTGCTACTGTTTGTGGGAACTATGCAGTTTGAGTGAAAACACTGAAGAATTTGCAAAATGTGTAAGCGTGTTAGCATGGCAGAGTGCTATTGGGTTTTAGAGAGGTTGTGGTCCAATCGGGTTCCTGCCTCGTCCTGACGGAGGTCGCAGAGCTTCATTCTCGGAAGTAAATCCGTGTGCAAACTACGTCATCTGCCCCGAAAGTCTGCAGGAAACAAAAACATAACTCCGCATTAGACACCTGATATTGGTTAGCTTTTACATTCAGCTAGCAATGAAATGTTTCGCTGGCACAGCATTTTAAAGCTGTGACAGAAACTCGTAGCCTATACTTCAACGCTTGTAAAACTCATGACGTTTCAGGGTCTTGAAGGGTCGTCCCATTTCATTGGAGGAGATTTCATTACTATCCCTTGTATGTCTGTTCTGAGGGACAAAGGGGGCACTTGAAAAAGAGGGGAAGGGGTAAAGATTAGAAATGGGACTGAGCCTTAGCCTATAAGTTTAAGCAACTGTCCCTTAAACTGGACCCTCTGGATTTTGTTTTAACTTGTCACCAGAGGCAGCAACAACACTTAAAACTACCAACACATTTCTGGCATTGTGTGAACAAAACCAAAAAATAAACATGTGACATAGCTGGTGGTTCATTTTATTTTGAACTTCTGAATATTGCGTCTGAAACCCCTCTCCGATACCTTCACCGCATCGGAAATCTCAGGTGGCTTGATTCAACAATTATTCAACTGATCCAACTTTCCGACAACCATGTCCACTTCATTCTGACATCCATCAGGTGTGAGCAGGTAAGACAGGCTCTCTTTCTGTGATTTTCATTTAAAGTAATTACTCTGTTATTTTATGGCACCAACAGCGACATGCAGAGTAAATTCAGGTACCATCTAAGTCCCTGCTCATAAAATAAATCATAATTTAGCATTTGGATTACGCACAATTTGTTAAAAGCTTGCTGGGTTTTAGAGCAGTAACATATTGTTTGCAGTTTGAGTTTAGTGAAACTAGTAGGCTTAAACTTATTTCCAAAATGTCAAAGAAATCTCAATAAGCAATGATGTATGTGTCTCAAAATTTCAGTCAAGTTTATGTCCACATTGATTTAGGTCATACTGCAAACGGTTGATGATGAAACCAAAAGAAACTCCTTCAGAACTGATTTATTCGTCTCTTGTATGCCTGAGCTTTCAGTAATCAAGTCCAATCTTCTGATGTGCCTTCATTCCTTGATTTTATATTAGGCTTGATCTGGGTGAGGAAAATCCACATGACTCTGCCCCTAATGTGTTTTCAGACTAAACCAATTAAACGGATCATGCAAATCATATGGAAATGTGCCCCACTTGCAGTGTGAACTGCCACAGCCAATCAGACCACTGCGTTATGAGCGCTAGTCCTCCATCTCAAGTTGAAGCCCTGCAATTGTTGGACTGTCTCTCTGTGTCAGTCCGTTTGTTTGAAAACAGATGTGATTATATTCAGTCACAGTGTTTTGTTTTTCCAATTTTTTTTTAATCCAAAAGAACGAGGTCATCTGGGGGATTTTAATGAAACAGTTATCACATGTAGAACACTTTGGAAAGATATTTGCTTTCCTTTAAGTTTTGTTTACAAAAAGGCCTGAGCACTCATGAGCAGAATAATTCTACCAATGCTGTGACACTGTGCTGATGTCTTTTCCAAATTATGTCAGTAAATTTGGTTGACAAGTTTGAATGTCTGGAAGAGTAAAATATGTTATAAACCCATGTGTGTTTATGTACAGTTTCTGTTCAACATGTCAGTTTTAAAATTTGAGAGAGCAATCACAACAAGCTGCAAATTCATTGGGACGTCAATTAAGAAATGTCACAAAGGAGGGAGTGCTGTTGCACTGAATTTTAGCGTAATCCCAGTCGAGGGCTGATAGTACAACAGCACAAACTCAAGTGTGTAAATTTGACTATATCACCATCAAACTCTATCATCTTTACCTGCGACCTTGATACTCTGTGTATGTCTGTATGTATATAACCAATCAAAATGTAATTCAAATGTTTTTAAGGCAACATATATATATTTAATGGGGGCGTATCACTTTTTGTCCATGGTTTGCATTGTCCTTGTTAAGACCAATGGTCTCAAGGTGCTGTGGCTGCAAAACTAGGGCAGATGTCTCAGGTGAATGATGACAAGTGTTGTCATGGAAACAAATACAAGCTGAATGCTGCAAGAACCAATTTGACACCCTTTCCTTATCCATTAATCCTAAACTATAATAGAGGATTGTGCTGATACTTATAAGAAAAAAAAGTCCACATTGGGACTCTATCTTTTCTTTCTTTAGTTTGATGGCGTGACAGCAGGGAGGACTGAGGTGAGAAGAGCAGAGACTCAGAGCTGCAGTCACAGCTCCGCCAGATCAATCCCCATCAGTACATGAATGCTTCAGCTCCTCCAGGGCTGCAGGGCCATAGTGTCACAGGAGGGGCAGGCGGTTTAACACATTCTGCTTTTATCACCCAAAGAACAGAGGAGCTTTCTGCCTTCTGAACAATGGAGAGTCATGTAAGCATTGAAAGTTTGATTAAAGCTGCTCTTTCCCCCGGTATTTGCTTCTGGGAGGTGATATAAAGCTATGAAAACATCTTGTGAATACTTTTTTTTGCAGCATCTAAACCTTCCATATTGTTGTTTCAAGCTTTTGCCTTTTGGACATTCATCTTGTAAGCGCTTTCGGAACAACAAAGCAGAGCGTGGGAGCGAAGAACGATGGGAGAGGAAAGCTGTTGAGTCCCTGAGAAATCTTCGGCCGGTCCATGGGTCTTGGATGGCTCCCCTGCACATCGTTCGAGGGACTTTAGACCCATTGACTTCTGCCCATATTAATCTGGCTAAATACAGAGGGTATTACTGCGATGTTAGCGTAGCAGCTCCTCTTGTTCTCCTTTCACATCTCTCTGCGGGGTGGATGAAAGCTGGGCTCCTTGGGAAACGGCCTCCCTTATTTCCTTAACGGATGAATCTCCAGGGCGACTTCATACAGACCCTGCCTCGTTTAATTAACCATTTCTCAAACTGAGATGTTTGAAATCCCTTCCTAATGCATCCCCAGCCTCTATGAGAAACAAGCCATGTAACAGACAAATCATACAGATTAGATCTCCATCACATCTTCTCTCTCTCTGTGTACTTAGAATCAGATCTTAGAAAGTATTTCTCTGCCTTCTTTCTGGCGAGCCAAGCCTCAAGCGAGAGCTCAGTAATCTACTGAACTTCCGAGCTTTTGTCTTTCTTCTTCAGACACTCTTTTCTGAGCAGTAATCTATTAAGAAGCTTTCAGTAAGATGATGAATCATCGCTTTGCCCTCACCAGTGTGAGCTCATCGCCGTTCAGCTCTCGGGTCCAGAAGGTTTTGGGGCCATCGCCATCCACCAAAGTCTGCTTGCAGTACATCTTGTTCTCCGTCTCCCAGGTGGCGAGACTCTGCAGACAGAGAGACAGCAAAGACTAAAGGTCAGACTGATGGTAAAACACATTAGTACGATGTAGCGTTAAAGGATTACTTCATAATGGCGTCACTGATTGATGCAGTGGTTGAGGCCAGAAACAGCACCTTTAATCTCTCCAAAAAGTGATGTTTCAATGTACCAACACACAATGGGATGCATCAATTTAAAACATCTATTATCAACATTTTTATAATGTTAAAGTATTGAATGACTCAAAAAACCTATAGAGAATAATCACCTTAAATAGCAGATGAGAACAAGAAAGTAGCAGTTGAAACAGCGACAGGTTTTCTCCCTGTGTGTTTGCGTACCTGTTTTCAACTGTTTCCATGACTTCTTCATTTTTCCTTTGGATATTGAATTCCTTGTACTGTGAACAGTTAGCTTTTCTGTTGGTCATTTACTCTTTAAATTACCCGAAAGTCTGGTTTGGGGTCCTCTCCCTCTGTCTTTGTTAATACTAAAGTTGATAAATATTTCTCTAAGAAGTTGGTGGAGACCCAAAACAGAGATAAAAGAGTGTGAATGAGATTTCTCAGGTCGACATAATCGTGAAATAATTGATAATTTTCTGCAAAAAAACTGCTGTTGTAAAAGTCTCAATAACAAATTATATGCTAACACATTCACTGTGTCGATTAGCATTGGTATTTCAGCATTGTGCTAAAATGTGGTTCCCATGTCCAAATGTCTTTTGAAACACTTCATATTTGAAGACCAATTTCCAGATGTTTTACTACTACAGAGTAGATAGCATGAAGTGTGCATCAAGTTTTATGGTAGCGCCCTTTTGGAGGTCATTTCATGTTCTAACAATGCCCATGTGCAGACTTTATTGACCAACATCATGGCTGTCCTTGCCTCTCTTCTTGCCACTGAATGTGTAAAAGTGTCTCAGCCAGAATCTTAATTTTTTTACAAGCACATGCTGTATGTTTCATGTCCACATGCTTTTAGCCATATATTCATATATTCCAGAGCTACTCAAAATGTAATTTGTGACATGGTTATTAATAAATGGCAAGACCTCTAGGAACAAAGCAACATGATATTATAAATCAGACCTGAGTCTTTAGAAGGGGGGGGGGGGTAAAATCCTCTTAGCAATTAGGTCAGTCAGGGTCCCCAACTCTGCTAATTCACTTTAATAATATTTCAAATGACTTCAATAGGATTAGTCAGACTCTGACTTCAGGACTCATTTCTCTTGAAGCCATTGACTCAAATTACCTCTTTGAGAGCTCAGACCTCATAAAAGATCAGGTCCAAGTTGACCCTGTAGCGCTAATTTGTGTTAATGGAGAGTATTTATCTTTTTTCGGGAAAGGTAAGGGTCCATTAAGTGAATTCATATTTCATTACTGTCTATTGTTGGTTCATGGTTGAAGCTGGTACAACTCTTTTTTTTATATTTACTGTATTTATTTAAAGTTAGAAGGCTGAAGCCAGGAGACTGTCTTGTATAATCCTAAGTAACAGGAGAATTCAAAGTCTTTAAATAAATCAGTTGATCATCATCATTTTTAGTTGGCAGACTTTTTAACTGCTGTTTTTTTAGTTATTCAATTTTCAATATTTATGCTAAGCTAGGCTAACCAGGCCGATGCTTAAATATAAATAAATAAATAGATTAGTAAGTTTCACTAAAGCTGACTGCCCTGTTTTTTTTTCAACTTTCTTGAATCTTTTCAAAACCAAAAAATATCTTGAGACAAATGAACTCGTAGGAAGACGTTCTTATGCTTGCACAGCTACTTCCCTAGGTTCTTTATGTTTATGCTAGGCTAGGCTAACCCAGCTTCAACTTAGTATTAAGACATTTTTGGGGGAAAAACAAATCTTATTTCTAGCCAAGTTTTACCAAAGATTAATTTAAAAATATCTGTGTTAAATATGAAAGTAGCCTACAGTCAAAAAGGTTTGTTAGCTTAGCATATGATCAGAAAAAGGTGCGAAAACCAACCTGGCACCTTCCAAAAGGAATTGAAAATCTGCCAACCAACCCGTACAAATCTGACTGTTTGAGCCATTATACCTCCTTTCTTCTGCTAAAAAACTGAAGAGGAAGAAAATGTATCACTTTGTTCAACAATGTCCCAACACCTTGCAGTTCCCCCCTTTTTTTATATATTATATCCAGCTGCATTTTGCATTTCAATATCACACATTAAGCTAGTGATCCCGCTCCAAGGCCTGGAACTTATCAGAGCTGCCTTTGCTTCATCCAATTCAAGCAAAACATCCAACAAAATTAAAATCTGGGTGGACTATAATAATTGTTTCAAGATTTTTTTTTTTTTTTTTTGCACAGATGTCTGTTTGTAGTGTTGCTCATAGACAATTTGTTAAACAGTTTTCCAATTTTGTAGGCGTACTCTATGAGGCAGCACTGTGCAGTGTTGGACTGAGCAGCAGCCTCAGTGACACCGACGTAAGTGTTAATCACCATATCAAAGGTAGAGAAAGCCATCCCCGCAGGCTGCCATTCACAGACTCTGCCAAGCTGAACAACAGCAGAGCCTTCCACAGCTTTCCCTCTGATTTTTTTAAATAAAGCTAGAACCCAGAGAGGCGATTAGCTACGGCCCCATTTTAATGTTAGCATCAGTCTCAGCCTCTAATTTGGATGGATTTTCTCTCATTTTGTCTGCTGCACATTAAGTCACGGACTACTCACACATTTTCTTTCTCTTCCAAATAACACCCAAGAGCTTGTGCACACAAACAGTTAGACCAAGACACCCAACTTTTAGTTTGTACTTATCAGAGCATGTGCTGCCTTTGGCTTTGGTTCTGTCTAATAAAGAGTTGAAAGTTTAATCAGACATGAACAGTATGTGGAAAAGTAGAACAACATCTAATATCCTGCTAGGTTTAAAGTTAGACTCATCTGTTCCTACAATTTGATCACATCAAACCGCCCACGTCAGTGTTTGCTCATACATTTTCCAGAACTCAATAGCTTTGGCTCTAACCTCAGGGCAACTAATGTGAGACACAATTTCTCTTCTATCAAATCAACTCATATTTCGGGGCAAAGATCCCATCTGAACGGAGAAGAAATGGAAAACTGCCCTCAGCTGCAATTTCCTCAATAACTGCTTACAGCTGACAGCAACAGAAAAAAATCACTGTGGAAAACTACACATAACAACTCAACATTTTCTAAATGATAGGATGGAAGCAGCTTATTGGGCATGTCAATTATTCAAATATGTACTCTTCAACATTTCTCAAACAAAAAATATTATTCGGCATTATTGGTGGATCTATCAAGCTATCAAAGTTGAGCTTTTAAAGTCACTAAACAGTTTTCACATACGCAGTCCTGAAAAGGTCTCAAACATTTTTTAGACCGACGACCCTGGAAATCTTCCTGACTTGCTTGCTCACACATGCCACCTCACAGAGGGAGGCCAGGGGGTTCTCAGAGGGCAAGACATGATGCATGACGAAGAATGACAGATGAAGCAACAGTCCAACACTCATGATCATTTTCACCTTCATATCAGAATTTATCCTTATTAAATGGATAACTCTCAGAGCTCGTGAACTTGCATATGAATTGTATAACCAGCTGGGGCAAGTCTGCAGCAATGTTGAGTGGTTATTTTGTATCCAGAACTAATAGTTAATCTGAAATCATTTTATATAGAGCACTAGATAAATCACAAAACTCACATTCACACAGTTGCTAAGCCCACAGCCTCTAATCATGAGGGGTAATTACAAGTCAACATAAAGTCACAGACAAAACGACAAGAGATAATTCGGCAGAGTGTTGAGACAGATTTTACAAAAAGGAGCTGCCAACCAGAACCCCAATATCTTTGCCCTCTGTTTAAATCACAACATTGTAGAGTCAGTCAAAAATAATCTGTCTTCCCCTTCACTTCTCTTTCAACAGATTATTTAATTTGCCCGTTATTTGTCTCAGGCGCGGTTCCTGCTCCTCCATGCTAAAATCACACTGTCAAAAATAAACAAAAAAAAAATCACACTCAGTGTCAACCACACACACAGGGCTCCGTCGTTTCCAGGCATACATTCACACTTTTAGCCTTTTTCCCCAAAGCCTGTGCAAGCATGCTGACCACCATAGATAAAAAAAAAAATGATTCCATCATTATATTATAGGATCACCTGTCAGGGGTGTGTAGTCCTTTATTCGGGGGTACATGTTGACTTTTTCTTTTTCAAACTCTGTCAATGAAAGTCTTTATTTATGGTAAATGATAAATGGACTTGAGCTTGTGCACCCATTCACACACTGATGGCTGACCCACACTGAGGTTGCTATGTTAACTGACCATCAGAACATACATTCATACATATGCATATGCTGCTGATGAAGCAGTGGGAGCAATTCAGGGTTGGGTGTCTGACCCAAGGACACATCGGACATGTTGCTGCAGGAGCTGGGAATCAAACCCTCGACCGTCCAGTTGAGAGACGACCGACTCTACCAACTGAGCCACAGCCACAATTTGCTTTTAATTGAAAAGCAACATTTTCTTTTCATTTTTCTAAGCCATATATTTTCACTGTTAAGGCAGTCAGACAGACATCTCTGCTCCATTGAGTTTTTGCCCTGAAGTGACTTTGTTGTTAATGGGAAAAGAAGCGTATGTGTCCAGATGAAAATATTGCTGTAACACAGGTTCTCTCTCACTTCTGAAAAAAAAACTTTTCATTCAGTAAAAGTCAATCTTAAGAAGGCAAAAAAACCTTCTGTGCTCATGTTTCTCTTTGAGCTTTTTCACTGTAATACCTTCATCCTTCTGCACAGCTTAAACTCTGCCTTAGTATGATTTCAGCTCTGCGCTACACCCCGTCTGGTGTCTGTTACTTCTTTGGCTCTGAGATCCACAGAAAGTGCCTTATCACAATCTCCTCCTGGAAGTGAGGAAAGACCGTCTGATCCAACTGCACTCACTCAGATTAACTGGAGCTTTTTAACCTTGCGGCGATGTT